CAAATGGAACAAAGAGAAGAAGAAAAATATGAAAGTGCAATTAGATGTTACTGGGGACAAATTGAGAAGCTCTAGAGTATATCTAATTAGAGAACCAAAATAGAGGGAACAAAAAAATCAGTATTAGGAGATATAATACATAAAAATTTTCCAAAACTAAATAAATTAGAACTAAAGTTCTCAAATAAAGTGAAATTGTTAAGGGGACTTCTTTAAGAAGAAGGAAAAAAGATTTAAAAATATGAATGATCAAATAGCAATAACTGCATACTTATTAATAATTACTTTAAATGTAAATGGATTAAATGCTCCAATCAAAAGACATAGGGTAGCTAAATATATAAGAAGACAAGACCCATACATATGCTGCCTACAAGAGACCCACTTCAAATCAAAAGACACTCACAGACTAAAAGTAAAGGGATGAAAAAGATATTTCATGCAAATGGAAACAAAAAAACAAGATGGGGTACTTATATCAGACAATATAGACTTTAAAGACTATATAACAGGAGACAAAGAAAGACCCAGCAATTTCGCATCTAGGTATTTATCCGAAGATGCCTAGAGCACTGATTTGAGGAGTTGTGCACAACCCGATATTCTCTGCAGCAGTTTATAGTACTCGATATGTGGAGGCAACCCGGGTGTCAAATGGATGGAGAAGTTGTGAGATACACACACACACACACACACACACACACACACACACACACACACATATGTATGTATATATCTCTTTTTGTGGCAAAACAATATTCCATCATTAAAAGGAATGAGATCTTGCCATTTGCAACAGCATGGATAGACCTAGGTGGTGTTATGTTAAGTGACCAAAGACAGGCAAAGAAAGAGAAATACCATATAATTTCACTTATATGTGGAATCTAAATAACAAAATAAACAAGCAGAACAGAAACAAACTTACAGAGAACAAATGATGGATACCAGATGGGAAGTGGTTGGAGAGATGGGTAAAAGAATTAAGAAGTACAATTTGCCAGTTATAAAATTAGTCACAGGGATGTAAAGTACATCATAGGAAATATAGTGAATAATGTAATTAACTATGTATAGTGTCAGATGGCTACTAGACTTATCAGGGTGACCCTTCATAAAGTATATAAATGTCCAATCACTATGTTATACACCTGAAACTAATATAACATTGCATGTCAATTGTAATTGAAAACATTTTAATTATTTTTTAAATTGACTTGAAAGAAAGAGAGAGGAAGGGAGAGAAATAAAAAAAACATTGATTTATTGTTCTACTTATTTATACATTCATTGGTTGATTCTTGTATGTACCTTGACTGGGGATCAAACCTGCAACCTTGGCATAATGGGATGATACTCTAACTAATTGATCTATCCAGCTAGGGCTAAAAATTATTATTTTTAATTAAATTAATAAAAAAATATAGCCCTGGCCGGTTTGGCTCAGCGGATAGAGCATCAGCCTGCGGTCCAGAGCGACCCAGGTTCGGTTCCCGCTAAGGGCACGTACCTCGGTTGCAGTTTGTCCCCGGCCCTGGTTGGTCGTGTGGGTGACAGCCACTCAATGTGTCCCTTTCATGTCGATGTTTCTCTCTTTCTCTCTCTTCCTTCTCCCTCCCACTCTACCTGAACAAAAAATGGAAAAAAATGTCCTCAGGTGAGGATAAAAAAAAAAGAGAGAGAGAGAGAGTAAGAAAATATTGACAAGGTATATATCTGACAAAGGACTGTAGCAAGGATATATTTAAAAAATGCCTATAACTAAAAAACTACAAAGACACCATGTACCCCCTTTAAATTAGTTTAAAAAAATTTTAAACTGACCATAGCAAGTGTTGGTAAAGACGTAGAGCAAATAGAACTCCTACACACTGTTCATGGGAATGAAAAATGTCACCACACTTTGAAAAATAGTTTGGCATTTCTTAAAAAGTTAAACATTCACATACCATACAATTCAGTCATTGTATTCCATTCCATTCCTAGTTACTGATTCATAAGAAATTAAAGTTTATGTCTACACAAAGACACATACATTAATATTCATAACAGCTTTACAATAGCCTAAGACAAAGCAACCCAAATGCCCATCAACAGGTGAATGTATAAATCAGTGTGGTATATCCATATAATAGAATACTACTTAGCAGTAAAAAGAATGAACTATTGATATATGTAACAACATGGATGAATCTCAAAATTATTCTAAACCAGTAAAGTTTCTAGGAAGCTTAAGGGTGTTGTCATTCAGTAGGCTAAGCAAAAGCTCAAGATTGAGAATAGCTTATCTCAGAAAGATTTGTGGGGCTGGCCTTTGTCTAATGAAGTAAATCCAAGTAAGATTTGCAGAGACCCATAAGATTTCTGAGGAGGATATATATGCACAAACATAGCCAGGTTGCACCAAAAGGGACAGAGACTGTGCTAAATGAAAAGAGGCTGCTGGACTCTCCACAATTCTACAGGGAGGAAGCAGGATGAGAAAATCTTCCTTCTTCCCTCCCTCCCTTTTTTCCTTTCTTCCTTCCCTCCTTTATTTTCTAGACAGATTGATTCTAATGTTTACATATAATGTTTATATATACAAGACTAACCAGGAAAATCCTGAAAAATGAACTGTTTAGGGAAACCAGACCCCCAAAATGATAATCCATAGTATAAATAATACATTTATAATATAACAATTAGATTGCTAAGAATATAAATTGGATTCAAATGCATATATAAATGTAGTAGACCATCAACACCAAATCTTGATTTTCAATAAATGGTATTGTAATAGTAAGGACTTATTTGGGGAAAAAATTAAGTTGGAGCCACACTTTACAGTGTAATATGAATAAAATTTGAGATGAATAAAATAGTTTACTAAATAGAAAATTAAATATAAAAATTCTTTAAAAAATTCTAATATCACTTTTTATTAAATAACTGATAAACCTAACTAGATAAAAATAAGAAATTCCTACATGGCACAAGCCACTGTAAATAAAATCAAAAGGCAAACAAAACACTGGGGGAAATATTTTTGAATCATATTACAGATAAAAGACTAATTTCTCTAAAATAAAAAACGTTCCACAGCCCTGACCAGTTTTGCTCAATGGTTAAAGCATCGGCCCTTGGACCAAAGAGTCACGGGTTTGATTCCGGTCAAGGGCACATACCTCAGTTGTGGCTCAGTCTCTGGCCCTGGTCAGCAGGGTCGTGTAGAAGGCAACCAATCGATGTGTTCCTCTCACATCCATGTTTCTCTCTCTTTCTCTCTCTCTCTCTCCCTCCCTCCCTCCCTTCTTCCCTCCCTCCCACTATATCTGAAGATAAATGGAAAAATATCCTTGGATGAAGATTATTTAAAAAGTTCCACAAATCATTACAATGTCAATAGCCTACATTTTTTTTTAAATGGCTAAGGCCATTTAATAAATTTGTTCCCCCAGGAGGAAGTAAAGATGGGCATTAAGCACATGTGAAGACAATGACATTCATAAAAGGAAAGCTAATTAAAACTAACCTGAGCCCTGGATAGTTTGGCTCAGTGGTTGGAGCGTCCCAGGTTCGGTTCCCACTAGGGGCACATACAAAAAACAAAACAAAACAAAAAAAACTAGTCTGAGATGTCATTTTTTTAACCTATTAATTGTGTAATGATCCATAAGTCTGGTAACACACAGAGCAACAAAATGTGTGAGGAAATAGGCACTTCCATGTATCGGTGGAAGTGTTCATTGGTGCAACTTCTGCGAAGGGCAAAATTTCAAATGTACATACTCATAACCCAATAATTTGCTGGTCTGGGAATTTAAAAAATATATATATAACTATTTGTATATGATGATATGCATTCAAGATACATTGCTTAGAGAAAAATAGGAAGTTTCACAATATTATGTACATTATGAAACTGTTTTCATTAAAAAAAAGAATACACATATATACAAGATATACATATTTTCTTACATTTTAATAGACTTCCTCAGAAGTATGCACAACAAGATGAAATTGATGACTCTGGGAAGAGGAACTGTGTGGCTGAGGTAGAGATAGCAGGAAGACTGTGAAAAGAGTATACCTTTTGAATTTGGAACTACATGAATATTTTACCTATTTTTAAAGTAAATTATAATAAAACTTTAAAAATTCAAAGGACTCCAAATAAGAGAGTTCAGTAAAATCAAAGGATACAATATCAATAGTGTTCTATACACTAGTAGTAGCCAAACTGAAAACACAGAAGAAAAACTACGCCATTAATAATGGCAACAATTAAGTGGCACCTATACCATGAAGAAAACTACAAAAATACTGAAGAATATAAAAAAAAGAGGTAACAAATGGAGAGCTATACCATATTCACAGGTGTTAAGATTTACCATCACAGCCCAGCCAGTGTGGCTCAGTGGATTGAGCGTTGTCCCACAGGCTGAGAGGTCCTGGTTCAATTCCCAGTCAGGGCACATGCCAGGGTTTCGGGCTCCATCCCCAGTAGGGGTCGTGCAGGAGGCAGGCAATTGATGTTTCTCTCTCACATCAATGTTTCTATCTCTCACTCTAAAAAATAAAAACATATTTTTTAAAAATAAGATTTATAATCACAAAGATGTCAATTCCCATAAATTAACAAATGTAATGTCATTCTCATCAGAATCCCAACAAAATTTTCATGACACTTGACAAGAGAATGCAAAGATGTATATGTTGAGTAAAGGGCAACAACAGCTAAGATAAGTTTAAAGAAAAAGATGTGGAGACTAGAAGAAGGTGGGGACTAGCCCAACTAGATATCAAAAGCTATGATAAAGCCAAAGTAATTAAAACAGAACATTGATGTAGAGATAGAGAACAATGCCATTGGAAACTAATGGAGAGCCCAGAAACAAACCCAAAAATACAGTAAAACTTGATCTCCTTTGCTAGGTCTCTGAGGCTATCTTCTATGTCTTGGCAATAGCATTTGAACTTTCTAATTTCATTTAAGCATCTGGATATGACCTACTTACGTATCATCATCATCAGATCTTGGTTCTGGTTGTTCCTCATCTACTTCAATGCCAGAGGCTACTTCGACCTTCCCCTGATTTTCCTCAGGAAGCCATTGTTTTAATGTTCCCACTGTTAAAGAAATGACAGAACAATTAAAGCATTCCAATCTATATACCTGCTGGAGAGGTATGTACCAAAAATCCTATAATGAACATCAAACATAATGATAAAAATTTGAAAGGTTTTAAAACAAGACAAGGATGATAACTGACACCCCAATTATTTTCAGAATTCTATTGAAGCTATTAGGCAACACAATAAGACAAGAAAAATGAGAGGAATAAGGATCAGTGACAAAGAGGCAAAATACTCCCACTTTGGGGGTAGATGCTTTGATTGTATAAAAAAAAAATGTTTTAATCTTGTGTTGTAAAACCTTAAGAACTACCAACATTATTGTACTGCCCTATTCTTCACTGTTTCTAGAAAATGAGTATCCAGCTCATTGTTAGTCTTAATCATTAATATTTGAAAAGAAAACTCAAAGCACACACACATACACACACACACCTTTCTTTTTCTGTGGCAGGGATAAATTTATTGTTGGTATTTAAAATGTACTTTTTTTGCTCAAAGAATGCACCACTCAACTTTTTATTCATAAGCTAATGTTTTTAAAGTTATATTTAGAGTTTTTCTTTTTTGAAGCTACATTTGAAAATGATAGAATAAGAAAGTTTTAAGTAGCTACCACTTTTTATTCATTATAATGGCTCTTTTGAAAGTTCACAAACACAGCTAAGAATTCTTGCATAGACAGTTTGTGATGCTCAAGAGCCTAAAGCTATTTTCTCTGGTGCAGCTTCCACGGCACATGTTTGTTTTAGCATATTCTGGTGACTTGGTATATTTCATAGTGGCTAGAAATTAAAGATAAATAAATAAATAAATAAAATGTAGTTTTTTTCTCTTGGGACAAAGATCAGACTGAAAATAGTACAATAGTTTGTTTCCTTATAGCAATGCAGCATCCCCTCAACAACTCTAAGATTCCACTAATTATAAGATGTACTTCTATTTTATATACCAATAGCAAAGGAGATGTTCCTAATAAAATGACACAGTGTTTTTTTACCCTTAAAATTTATATTTTACAAAACTTCTGGTTAAGATGGCGGCATAGGTAAACATGATATCGCCTCCTCCCACAACCACATCAACCAGAACAAAAATCACTCAGAACCGCCTGAAATCGCGCTGAATGGAAGTCCTACAACTACGAAATTAAAGAAGCTGTCACATGGAGACTGGTAGGAGGAGAGGGGGGCAGATGGGCTGGTCCCACGCCCACGGATAGTGGATAAAAATCAGGAGGGACACCTTGGCTGGGAAGGTCCTCCCTGAGAAGTGAGGGGTCCCCGTTCCACACCAGGTTCCCAGCTCAGGATTCCAGTGCCAGGAAGAGAAGTCCCCATAACCTCTGGCTGAAAAATCAGTGGGAACTGAGGCTGAGGGAGACTGCGGCTTCTGGAGCCCCAGGCAGCTCCTCTTAAAGGGCTTGCACATGGACTTACTTGGACTCACTCCCTCCAGGCTCCAGGGTGGGGGAGGCAGGTTGAAAGGCACCAGAGACACACAGGAAAGAGTTGTTTGGCATGCAGGCGAGGGTTGGAAAGGCAGCTTTCCCCCAGAAAGACCTGCTGTCAGAGACCATTGTTCCTTTGGTGAGCCCTTCTCCCATGGGACCAGCAGATGGCCCCCATATCTGGGACTCCAGCAACCTGGTTCACACTGTTTGCCCCACCCTGGTGATTCCCTGAGGCCCTGCTCACCCAACTTTCAGGCCTACCCAGGCTATTTCCAGTGGCTTTACCATAGGATAAGCCTGTTTTGGCTCCTGCTTCAGATTTCTCTCAAACAAGCAGCTTCTGCCCTCAGTGAGCGCCATACTTCTCACTAAGTGGTCCCAGGCCTGGCACTAGAAGCAGCCAGGCTTGGTTCACAGCTTGGCTTTGCCTGGACACCTCTAAACCCAGCATAAGAAGCCAGCTAAAGCCATCTAAATCCATCAGCAAATCACTTTATAAGTTATGCCTGTGGCCCCAGGTAGAACACAGGCAGTGGCTGACCTTGCCCCAGAGTCAGCACACCCAGTGGACACCTTCAGAACATGTCTAAGCACCACCACCCAACCACCTCCACAAGTGACACACTCAAGGAATGGACTCAGTGAGTACCAGAGCTCTGCCGAAGTAAATCTTGTTCTGTGGTGGGCCCCTGCACAGCTGATCATCCACGGTATCAGAGGTTGGTTGTCAGTGGGCACAGCCAGTCCTTGCAACTTATCAACCTGAGTAAATTCCTCCCATTGATGTGCCAAAAACAATCAAGACTCATTTACAACAAAAAAGTATAAAGTCCACACAAGGAGTGCACCTTGAGGGCCCAGCTGGGGTGATCAGGAAGGCTGTGCCACTGGACCCTACAAGACACCTACTATAACAGGCCACCTTAGGAAGCCTAGGAGACATAGAAACTCTACCCGATACATAGAAACAAACACAGGGAGGCAGCCAAAATGAGGAGACAAAGAAACATGTCCCAAATGAAAGAATAGAACAAAACTGCAGGAGAAGAACTAAATGAAATGGAGAGAAGCAATCTAACAGATGTGGAGTTCAAAACTGCTTTTAAGGATGCTCAGTGAACTTAGTGAGAATTTCAAGGAACTTCATGAGAATGTCAAGGAAATTAATGAGGACCTCAAGAGCATGATAAAGGACCAGTCAGAAATGAAGGATGCACTAACTGAAATAAAGAATAATTTACAGGGAATCAATAGTAGTTAGTGTAGGTGAAGCCAAGCAACAAACCATCAATTGGGAATATAAGGACGCAAAAAACACCTAATCAGAATAACAAAAAGAAAAAAGAACCCCCCAAAATAAGGATAGTATAAAGAGCCTCTGGGACCACTTCAAGTGTACCAACATTTGCATCATGGTAGTGCCAGAAGGAGAAGACAGAATGCAAGAAATTGAAAACATATTTGAAACAATAATGACAGAAAACTTCCCTAATTTGGTGAAGGAAACAGAAATACAAGTCCATGAAGCACAGAGTCTTAAACAAGATGAAACCAAAGAGGTCCACACCAAGACACATCATCATCAAAATGCCAAAGGTTAAAGACAAAGAGAGAATCTTAAAAGCAGCAAGAGAAAAGCAGTTAGTTACCTACAATGGAGCTCCCATAAGACTGTCAGCTGATTTCTCAAAAGAAACTTTGCAGGCCAGAAGGGAGTAGCAAGAAATATTTAAAGTGATGAAAAGCAAGGGCCTACAACCAAGATTACTCTATCCTGCAAAGTTATTTAGAATTGATGGCCATATAGTTTTCCAGACAAGAAAAAGCTAAAGGAGTTCATCACCACCAAACCAGTATTATATGAAATATTAACAGGTCTTTTTGAAGAAGAAGAAGATAAAAAAATATAAACAAGCCCTGGCCAGTTTGGCTCAGTGGTTAGAGCATTGGCCTGCAGTCCAGAGAGACCCAGGTTTGGTTCCTGCTAAGGGCGTGTACCTCGGTTGCAGTTTGTCCCCGGCCCTGGTTGGATCGTGTAGGAGGCAGCCACTCGATGTGTCCCTTTAACGTCGATGTTTCTCTCTCTCTCTCCCTCCCACTCTATCTGAGGATAAAAAAAATATATATATGAACAATAAAATGTCAATAAATACATATCTATCAACAATTGAATCTATAAACAAAATGAACAAGCAGAACAGAAACAGACTCATAAATACAGAGAACTTTTTATTGGTTGTCAGATGGAAGAGGGGTTGGGGAGATGGGTGAAAAAGATGAAGACATGAGAAAGTACAAATGGGCGTGGCCAGTGTGGCTCAGTGGTTGAGCATTGACCCATGCACCAAGAGGCTGCCAATTCGATTCCCGGTCAGAGCACATGCCCAGGTTGTGGGCCCACTCCCCAGTGAGGGGCATGTTCTCTCTCATTGATGTTTCTATCTCTCTCTCCCTCTTCATTTCTCTCTAAAAATCAATAAAGAAAAAAAAACATTTTTTTAAATAAATAAAAGTACAAATGGGTTGTTAGACTGACAAACCTTAAAGGGAAGGGGAGAGGTGGGGTGGAAAGAGAGAAACCAAAGAACTTATATGCATTTATGCATAACCAATAAACAAGACAATAGTGTGGAAAAGGCAGGATGGGGGCAGGACTGGGGAGGACAGGGTCCAGGGGGGAAAAAGGAGGGACATCTGTAATACATTTAACAATAAAGATATATTTTAGAAGAAAAAATTTATATTTTACAGATATAAATTATAATAAGAATCTTTTAGTCCTTGTTATGTGTATATTTTTTCATCTTACATTACTTTTTTATACTCATAAAAAGGAAAATATAAGTAAAATTATTGGATAAGGTATAATTAAATTTCCTTGCATTCAGAGTCTTACACCTCTGAATTATTTCTTCTTTTACATATCAGTTAAACTTTTATGGATCCTGATTCAAAGAGATCATAATAAAACAATTAGACAAAGAATGTTGAATGACTTTTTAAGAAATTGATGTCTGTGGGTTGTTTTGTTTTTATTATGGTAAAAAATACATAACATAAATTTACCCACTCAATTTTAATTGACTTATTTATTTTTATTTTATCATTTTTTATTTATTTATTTGTTATTCCTCACCTGAGTATCTTTTTCCATTGATTTTTAGATAGAGTGAAAGGGAGGGAGGGAGGGAAAGAGACACAGAGAGAAACATCCATATGAGAGAGACATGTCAATTGGTTGTCTCCCACATGACCCCGACCAGGGCCTGGGATCAAACCTGCAACCCAGGTACGTGTCTTTGACCAGGAATTGAACCTGAGACCCTTTGGTCTATGGGCCAAGGCTCTAACCAATGAGCAAATCCAGCCAGGGCAACCCACCCAATTTCTAAGTTAACAACACAGTGTTATTCAATATATGCATATTGTTGTACCATCTTACATGACTGACACTTTATTCCCTTTGAACAATAATTCCCCATTTTTCCCTCCCTTCAGCCCTTGGAAACCACCATTCTACTTTCTGTTTCCAAGAATTTGA